CGAGTTAGTTCTCAAACTGACATGCAAAGAGTTCCCAGCGTCAAACTTCCGACGATAAATTCATTAATGAAATATTGCTTATGGGAAAAAAATAGTTAATTCAATTAAAAAATCAATTTTTACAAATTTATTGTGTTTATTAATCTACGAATACAAAATTTGCGTTATAATAAATATGTATATAATATGTATATATACACACTATTAATATAAGGGTATTTCAATATTTTATCTTATAACTGTGTTTGGAGAACCAAAGTTGTGTTTTGTTGTATTAGCACTTTTAGTTGTTTAGCTTAAGTATAAATAGTTTGTATTAGGGTTTGCAGACTCACTTTTGTATTTTTCATTTTTCGTTCATCAATAATATTACAATCTTTCCTTTCTCGCTCTCTCTCGATTTCATATCTCAATATGGTATAATTCACTTCATGATCGATCCTTGGTTCCGCACATGTTTTCTGCCTTGATTCTATATAGATTTATTGTTTTCCTTTTGATTCTATACACATATTGCCCGAAAACTCTCGATTAGGGTTTTCTCGCTATCTGATTTGATTTTTTCTTCTCGATTTTCATCGATCTACAAATATCTTGTGTTTTCTCCGTCGATCTGCGACGCTTTCTCTATTGTTACCACCAATCTACACTTGGACGCCATTTATTTCAGATCCAGATCGCTTTTCCGACGATTGCTGCAAATCCAGTCCCAGCCATTTGAGATCTTCGACGATTTCCGATTTTAGACGCTCTTCAGTCGCCGATTCCTTCATATTACATACCGTTTTCAGTGTTATGGCCACCGTACACCCTACCGATAATTCATCGTCACTGTTATTTCTCCATCCGAGTGATAATCCTGGGGCTTTGATGTTGGGTTCTGTTAGGAACGTCAAACAACATGCACAGTATTGAACTTTATCGAAATAAATCCTAACGCAGCGGAATCTATAGTTAGGATATGTACGTTTATCTTTTAAAATTTTTGTCGACTCTAAGACGATGTAGAGTACCGTTGATGAAGTTCGTATGAATACCACAACCTAATGGGCAGATAGGTTTGGCCTTTAGTCGATTCTAATCAACACGTCAAACAGATCACGGTTGAACGACACACGGGTCTCGTCGTCGGGTTGCAGCGGGTGATCGTGCGCGTCGGGCGTGGACAGCGTGCGGGCAGCGTGCGGACAGCGTGCGCGGACTGCTGGCGTGACGT